AAGGCTTTCACACCTACTGCTAAGAGTATGAGTTAATCATACACAACTTGAATTCACGTTTCCACTTCCCCACCTCCAGGTCTCTGAGGAGTGCCTTCATTTAAACTCTACAAGGTCACATCTGTAACACAGCAACATGTGACACCCTGGGGTGCTGGGAAGAAGTGAAGTACCATAGGAAGGCCAAGAGGCATTTCCAAGATTTCACAGATGGTAACCTTCCATTCACACAAACACACACTGCCCAGCAATGTAAGGACAGACCCCTAAAACCATACAGTTGATGGCCTCCTCTCTGGACTGTCCACAACAGTGTCCTCCATCAAAGAAAGAAATTCACAGAAACATCATTTCAATTCTCGCCAAGAAATCTTAGCCTACCGAAAAAGTACAATCATTTGTTGTTGTCGCTAGGTGTCACCACATTAGCTCCAGTGTCCCGACCACAGCCGAATGAAAGCGCACGTGATCCTCAGTCTCCGCTGCACAGAGCCCAGCGCCCAGGTAACTGGCAGTCACCGCCTTGTGAATCCTCCCCTAACAAGCAGATGTCCTGGAGGAAGTGACACCAGGAAGCTCCTTTGAAGCAAGGATGACGAAGCGTCATCTCACACGCGCTGGGCATGCTTGCAGGAGGGACTAGTCTTTGGAGGAGGGCAAGACAGTGCAAAAGGTGAAAGGTCAGGAAAGAGAGGAAGACCCTCAATGAGATGGACTTGAGCCTCTCAGAGAGGATGAGGAAGGCGGGACAGTGTGCCAGGATCGGGCAAGATTCAGGTCTGTTGTTCCTAGGACAGCTATGAGTCGTAATTGACTCCACGGCAATTAACAACAACTACTGCTCAAAACACGACTTCCTTTTCCAGGGACTGGGTCTCCCTGATTATTACTCACTTATACCCAAAGTACAGTAAGATGAACATCACCTTCCCTACTGCGAAGGGGCACTCTGGCCGGGTATCTTTCAAGAGAGATTTCTCTGTTGTCTGGGCAGTTCATGGTATCTTTAATATACTGCACCACTGCTGCTGCTTCTGGCTTTGCTATTTACGGTCTAGCTCTCCCAGGCATAGGAGGTTATTTGTTCCCAATAGAGTCAGGTCTCTACTGTGAGAAGTATCCTGATCCTGGAAGTACTCATATCAAGAGAACCGCAGGAGCTCTGGTGGGGCACAGGCACGACCAGGAGCTCAGAGGCCAAGAGCAGCAGCAGCCCCCGTCCACATGGCTGAGGGGGAAGGGCCTGGAGAGGCAATCCCTAAGGAACCCTCCGGGGCATCTGACTTCATCACCCAGGGCCACGCTGCGTGCGGGTCTGCAGGACAGCACATGGTAACAGGTAATGCAGCGACCACTGTGCAATGCCACCATGTATTAAACGCTCCCCGTTATTGTACAAATGGGTAAAATATCTTCATTATGCCATAAAGGGGTAGAAACTTCCTGGTGTATAGACTCGGTATTGTTGTTTGGACTCCCAGGACCCTGTGAATACGCCCTGTCCTGCGTCATCCTCACAATCTCGGACGTGCTCCAGTCCACTGGTACCGTCACCATAGAAACCCATCTTGTCGAGGGGCTTCCTCTCTTTCTCACTGTTCATGTGCAAGCTCAAATTGAAGTTGAAGGAAATTAAAACAGGATCATAAGATCCAAAATATGACCTTGACTCTATTCCACCTGACTTTTAAATCTCAAGACTAGATCTGATACACTGAACAGTAATGAATGGAGACCAGATGACCGGTGGATGGCATCAAGAATGTCATCCAAGTGAAGGGATGAGGGGACAAACGCAAGGCCACACGAGCAAAAGCTCGAGAGACAGGCTCCATCTCCAAAATCAACAAGGAAGAGCCTTCTCTGGAGCCAGCACCCCGCACCTGTGCTCTCAGCTGCCCCACGAACAAAACAAAAGGTCAGCACAAAGCCGAGGAAGAAAAGACCAAAACAGATGTCAGGAAAGAACTCTGAAAACTGCACTAGAATGAAGGGAGGTCAAAGACAAAGGAAGAAATGCTGGAGTAAGAGAGATAAAAAGCTTGCAAAGGGCAGCGAGCGACATCAAAGCAAAGCAATACGACAAAATGTGCAGAGACCAGAGAGTTTCAGCTACTTCCTCAAAAACTTGCTCAGATAACTTACATACAAAAAAATTTCAATTTATACCAAGTTGTAACACTGTGAGAAAGGGAGGACCTGGAAGGCATATTTTACTATTATTACATTAGCAATGGTGCTCTTTTTCATATTTATAAATGCTTTCATCTTCGTAAGAACAGCAGGTACGTTCCGTGCTCAGATCCCAAGCCTGTGTCCCACGTGTTCATCTATGCTAATCACCACAGCAAGGATGCATGAGGCATGGGGCCATTTCAAGGAGCAAAAACTCCAAGAGGAATTTACTGTTACATTTGTGCAGGGCAAGTCCAAACAAGTCACACTTATTCCAAGAGGTCACCCTTCATGTCCCCATTTAAGGGGACATGCTTGTTGCACGTCCTTTACTTGCTTGTTCAAAGTGAAAACCTGAAGCATGAAATGATGAAGATCAAAGACTCTAGCCTTCAACACACATTACGTTCAACACGAAGAAACCACAATTCTCCAAACTGGCCCTAAGTGATAGCATGATCAACGGAGAAAAAGACTGAAGTGGTCGAGGATTTGTTTTTACTTAGATCCACAATCAACAGCCATGAAAGTAGGAGTCAAGAAATCAAAAGACGTGTTATCTTAGGCTATAAAGAGGACTGAATTTGTGTGAGAAGCAGGTAATATTTTGTGATTTTTTGATAGAAAATGGGGCAGTCTTTGCTGCAAATGGGGAGAAGTAATAGGTACCTCTCCTAAATAAAGTCCTCTTTCTAAGGGTTCAAAAAGATGTTACTTTGAAGACTAAGCTGCATCAGCCCATAAGCTATGGTGTGTTCAATCACCTCATGCACGGGTGAAAGTGCAAAGTGAAGAAGAAAGCCCAAGAAGACTCAGTGTCTTTTAATGATGCTGTCGGCGAATCATATGCAATGTACCAAGGACTGAAAAGAACAAACAAATCTGTCTCGGAAGTACAGCCAGAAGGCTCCTTAGGGAGTGAGAGACACGGGAAGTATATTGAGCATTGTCAAGAGGTGCCAAATCCTGGGGAATGACATCATGCTTGAAACGTGAGGGGTCTCAGGAAAGAAGACACCCCTCAATGAGCTGGCCTGACTCAGTGGCCGTGACGTCCTCAGAGTCAGCAAGGGCTGCTCACGGGCCATGGTGGTTTCCTTCTGCTGCAGACAGGGCACAGAAGCAGGAATGACTCAAAGCACCAACGCCAACAACAAAGACTCACAGTGTGGAAAAGTGTGGGTGAGTCAGAAACCAGCTGACATCGGTGAGGAGCAAGGTGTCCCAGGTAAATGTGAAATGCCAACAGCGCTGCTGTAAATAAGCACGACATCAGCACCTCCTACCTGAAGACTGGCAGCTCGCCCCACCTTGTCTGCACTCATCATCGAAAAAATCACAAACTACCACCTGCTTTTCATTCAAATTCTATCAGAAATGGACACTGAGACGCAGGCAATTAGCATTTAGGACCTGCATTCCCCCCCACTCCACAGTGAATATTAACTATCAGCTAGAGTCTCACTGCAATGAACCATAGAAATCACTCCACCCACAAAGAATGGCCACGCACCACTGCCTCCTGAACTGACAAACAGCGAGCAATCCCTCAACCCTGTCCTTGTCCAGGCCAGGTGAGGCCTCCTGGGTTGAGTCAAGTTAGGGTTTAGCAGAGACCACGGCACCAGCTGTATCGTTGCCCACGTCGGAAGGAACTTGACTGAAAGCAGAGTATTTTATTGACTATGCAAAAACATTTGACTGTGTGGGTCATAACAAACTATAGCTAACACTGAGAAGAATGGGAATCCCAGAACAGTTACTATGCAGATACAAAATCTATACCTAGACCAAGAAACTGCTGTCTAAACAGAGCAAGGGAGCAGTACCTGGTTTAAAATTGGGACAGTGTGTGTCAGGGCTGTATCCTTTCTCCGTATCTATTCAATCTGTATGCTGATAAATCATTCCAGAAGCTGGCCTTTCTAAAACAACTGTGGCTTCAGGATTAGAGGAAGACTCATCAACAGCCCACAGTATTGCCTGCTGAAGGCAAGGAGAATCTGAAGCGATTGGCACACAATATCAAGGAATGCAGCCTTCAATATAGACTACATCTCACCATCAAGAAGACAAAAATCCTCACCATTGAACCAACAGGCAACATCATGATAGGGAAAAAGCACTGAAACTGTCAATCATTTCATCTTGCTTGAATCCACAATTAACACGCTTGTTACCCTGGTTAGAAGATAAGGAGATGTATAGCATTGGAAACCTGCTGTAGGGGATATCTCTCCAAAGTGCTAAAGAGCAAAGATGTTATTTTCAAGACTAGGGTGCACCTGATTCAAATCATGGTATTTTCAACTGTTCCCCAGGCTTATGAGAGCTGGAAAACGAATGAAAAAAGATGTGTGTGTGTGTGTGTGTGTGTGTGTATCAATGCTTTTGAATTGGGATGTTGGTGCAGAGTACTGACTAGCCCGTGAATGGATCATGGACTACCAACAGATCAAGTCTGTCCTGGAGCAAGTGCAACTGGCGTGTTCCTTAGAGCCAAGGATGGTCAAACTTGGTCTCTCTTGTGTTGGGGAGGGTGTCAGGGGATCCAGTCTGGAAAGGTGGAGTGGGTAGAGTGAAGACGACCCTCGGCAAGGTGGATTGGCACAGTGTGCCAAGGGGGTTGCAAGGCTGGTAGCTGGCAAGTGGAGGAGAGTTTCCATCTTCATCACCCTCAAAAAACCAACTACTGGCTCCCATGGAGAGGTTGCTGACTTCAAACCTCCAACCTTTGGGCGAACAGCTCACCATGCTCCATTCACAACGTAGTTAGCAAAGCAAGGCTGTCCTCAGAGGGTTGTGGAGGGAAGTGGCATGGCAACCGAGCGCCCAGGTAAGCACTGCCAGCGGGCACCTGCCAGGTAAGCACTGCCAGCGGGCCCTGCAGGCACCCGCCCGAAAGCACGGCGCTCAAGCTTTCTGCACAGTCCTCTGTACCTTCCCGAGGGCACAAGGCCCAGGCGGGACTACACACGAAATCCCCGCCTGTGGTCAAGCACACACTTTAAAAACCATTTTCAAAGGAAGACGAAGTCGCCTGGCCAGCAAAGCCTTACTGGGTCCCTTCTGGTGACTGCGACAGATGGACAGACGGGGACCTCTGTCCGCGCCACACTCGCGCCCCAACCTCCAGGCCAGCGGGGTCTCGGCCTCGCGCGGCCTCTCGGGAAGCTGAGTCACCGCGCGTGACCCCAGCTGACCAGGCCCCAGCCCGAGTGACCCTGGCCCAACAGGACCGGGTGCCGGGCTCGGGCGGCCTCCCGCCCCGAGCAGCCCGGGCTCGCGGGGCCCATCTGCCGGGCCCAACATGGTGACCACGAGGCGTGCGCGGGCCGGTCCACCGAGGCCAGGGCGCGGCGGTGGGGCGATGTCCAGCTCGCCCCAGGTGCCCAGGGCACGCGAACGGCCGCCGCCCCGCTCTAGCTCCAGCCATCCACTGCCCGCTTACTTGGCTTTGAGACGCAGCAGCTCCTCAAACTGCCCGGCTGAGTCGACCGCCAGCACCGCCGCCCCTGCCTCCTCCGTCGCCATGCTACCGCCGCCAGGCCCGAGCAATGGAGTGCCGGCGGGTCGATGCGCGCGCCGAGCCACGCGAGGCTGCGCACTGGCGCGGCGACGCCTCTCCAGACCACGCCCCCACGCGTGTCACGTCACTAGGCCCGCCCCGTAGGGCCCGCCCACTCGCGCCCCGCCCCCTGCGGCCTGTGCTTCCCGTCCGCAGGGCTGCCCCGTGACCCCGCCTGTGAAACACAAGTCATTGTCCCTGCACGGCCCCGCCTCCCCGAACTCCGGCACCGCAGATCTGAATACTGAGTCCCGCCCCGTGGGCCCCGCCCTTCCCGGCGTGTGCCCGCCTCCCTCAGGCCCGGCTCGCAGGCCCTGCCCCACCACCCAGGCTCCCTCAG